ATAGTTCGGGTCCATCACCCAAGTTTTACCCTGTCTTTTTGGGGTTTTTTTAAATCATTTTATTAGGGGCTCATACAACTCCTATCACAATCCATACATACATCAATTGTGTAAAGAACACGTACATTTGTTACCCTCATCATTCCCAAAACATCTGCTCTCTGCTTAAGCCCCTGGCGTCAGCTCATTTTTTCTCCTCCTTCCCCGCTCCCCCAACCCTGTCTTTTTACAATCACACTTTCCTTCCACCTCGAGCTTCTGAAAACTGATCTATTCTCTAACACAAAAAGAGTTTTGTCTTTTCAAGAATCTATGTAAAAGCAATCATAAAGTATATATTACCTTTTCTGTGAAATAATGGACGTTCTCCATAAACATTTTGAACCTCCCTTTTATGTGTAATCAGTATCTTTCACTTAGCATACTGCTTTGTAGAATCATCCTCCAAGTTTGTGTGTATCAACATTCACTCCTTTTTATTGGTGTATAGTATTCCATTCTGTGGATTCACTCAGCTTATCTATTGAAGGAACATGAGCTGTTTCCAATTTTATTCCTGAATAGAAATGATTCATATAATTGCTTTAACTATTTCAATTTGTGTGTAAATGTTCATGTAGAGATCTTTTTTAGCGTATCATTTTCTCTGTGGTAAGCGCTGTTCGGTAAGCATTGGGCTGCTAATCACATGGGTCAAATCCACCAACCACGCCACACGAGAGAGGCGATGCTTGCTGCATGTGAAGATTTACATACAACTTCGGAACGACTAATAGGGTCCTTTTGAGTCCGAATTGACTCAACAGTAGTGCGATGGTAAGCTAGGTTAAGGTCGGCACTTGTCATATTTTTAGACCATCTTACGACGACGCTATCCTCAGATTACAAATATTTAACAGCCTCCCTGCCCAAACTCACTACATGCCAGTAGTGTTCTGCTCCAATCCCAGGTGTGATAACCCAACCTATCTGTTGTTTAAGAATCACCGCTATAAAATAAATAACCAAGGAGTGATATTGCTGGGTTACAGTAGTCAGCATATGTGTAACTTTATAAGAAATAGCCAGTTGTTTTCCAGAAAGGTTATACCATTTTCTGTTTCCACCTCAATGTGCAAGGTTCAGCTAGATAGAGTCAAATCCAACTCATAGCTGTGCGAAGCAGAGATCTGGAAGATAGTGCATAAGCATGAATCCTTTATTCTCATATATAAGAAGTCTGGCAGGCGGGGTTTTTGAGGTGGAGGGAGGCCTTCACCCTAGTGAGTTGGAAGTGAGTCCCAATCATATTCTCATAATTAATGTTCCCCACTATCTCCTCCCATAATAGTGCGACTTTAAGGTGACCTCTTACAAGCACGTGGCTAATTGCTGTGTAGCCAGCAGCTTTATCTGTAGGAGCAGACCTGTGCTATTGCTCTCCTGGCTCTGAGAACAGCCACTCCCCCTCACCTGACGGGCACTGGTGTTAGGTTACTCCTCCAATGCACTCAGGGACCTTTAGAGTTAGGGTACAGCCCACTTTTTCTGTATGTGGTTACCTGTAACTAGGGTATATAACCTTGGTTGGAAATATATTCTCTCTCTGCACAGACCTGACTCCTGAAGTCATGGTGGTCCCGGAGGTGAGCACTTGCAAGTTTCATCTTATCCGATGTCTCTTTAATTTTACCCTCAATTACCCAACTGCCCCTTGAACCCATTTGATTGTGGGTGTGGGTACCCCACACATAGCAACCCTATGGGACGAGGTAAAACTTCCCATGTGGGTTTCTGAGACTGTAACTCTTTGTTGTTGTTGTTGTTGTTGTTGTTGTTAGGTGCCACTGAGTGGCTCTGCCTCATAGTGTCCCGGTCTACACTTCCCAGTCTGAATGAAACTGTGCCTTATTCCTTCCTCCATCCTCACAATTTTTCCTGTGCTTGAGCCAATCGTTGCAGTCATGGTGTCAGTCCACCTCCGTGAGGGCCTTCCACTGTTTCGCTTCCTCTCTACTTTACCAAGCATGATGTCCTTCTCCACGGACAAGTCTCTTCTCCCATGTCCAAAGTATGTAGGATGAGATCTTGCCATCCTGACAGCTAAGGAGCACTCTGGCCTTATTTCTTCCAACATAGATCTGTTTGTCCTTTTAGCAGTAGAACGTTCAATATTCTTCTCCAGCACCACAATTCAAATTCATCGATTCCTCTTCAGTCTTCCTGATTCAGTGCCCAACTTTCACATGCAGATGAAGTGGTTGGAAACACCATGGCTTCTGTCAGGGGCACCTTAGTCCTTGAAGTCACATCCTTGCTCTTCAATCCTCTAAAGAGGGCTTGTGCAGAAGATTTACCTAATGCAGCATGGTTTTTGATGTCTTGATTGTGGATCCAGGCATGAAAAACTACTTGACAGCTTCCATCTTTTCTCAATGTATCATGACGTTCCCTACTGATAACATGTTCACATCTTCTGTCTTTTTTACTGGCTCTTTTTTGAGGGGAGAGGGGAGACTGCGCCTGTTTTTTTCTTGCTTTATCAGTGACTGCTTTTATGAATTTCTTTTTTGTCATTATGTTCTGAAATTTCTCTACTACATGAGCTCGGAGTGGATCTCATTTCATTTACCCTGTCAATTTCTTAAGATTCTTTTTTTATTATTATTATTATTCTTAAAATTTAAGAAAATCTTCAGGAGCCCCGACGGTGTGGTAGTTTCAAGGTGGGCTGCTAACAGCAAGGCCAGCAGTTCAAAGTCACCGGCTGCTCTGTGGGAGAAAGTCAAGACACTCTACTCCTGTAAAGAGTTGCGGTCTCGGAATCCCACAGGTAATTCCACCTGGTCCTATGGGGTCGACAGGAGTCAGAGGCAACTCCATCGCAGCTAATTGTTTTGTTTCACTTTGTTATGGGAAAGAAAACCCTCAGCCCTTCCCTTTCAAAGAGTGCACCGCTCCCTTCGCCCCTGTCTTTCGGGAACTCCATTCACAGGTATGGTAGACTGTCACTCCATTCACAGGTATGGTAGACTGTCACTCCATTCACAGGTATGGTAGACTGTCACTCCATTCAC